TTTTTTTTTTTTTAACTGAATGGGCTATTTACCTTTGTTCTCAGTGAGATCCCAAGCATATATTGTGCCTTTCTTATCATATGCCAGCTCTACCTCATATGCACTTTCCACCTGTGGCTGCACATGGATTCCCCAATGAAGTCCCAGCTACTTCCTATACACACAAAGGATGAAGGAAGCTAAGAAAGGTGATGTCCATTGCAGCTGCCAAGGCTGCCCATGAGTCATTCTCATTTAAAGCTAATGTTAAAACTTCACTTCTTACAGCTTGTGATCATGCATGATAGATGGTATCAGCTTCTCTTTTCAGAGAAAAGTATATGCTTGATGACTTGCTGCAGACAGTCTTATTCCAGTCCCTTCTAAGAGTGGATAATTTCATTAAGTGATTATTGCTTACATATGCAATTAAGAAGAGAGAAAATATGGACCAACATGCTTTATGGGTTTTATATGTGAAAAAGAAGATATTAGAGTTAATATGACATATGACAAGCAATTAGTCTAACCAGGCCATGACTAGAATTCTACCTTATAAGAGCTTTAAAAAAAAAAAAAAAATGCCAAGCTAAGCAACAACATTTTTAATAGATTCTGGATTTTGTCAAAAGAGATAACACTAATCACAAATAATGTGATCACAATAAATTTGAAATATAAACTGCTTTCTCTAAAGTAAATGTAGGGAATTTAAACTGATGCAACAATTCTAGCCCAAAACACCCTTCTTGTGATTTTAAATATGGGACCCCCTGAACCATAAACCAAGAGTCAGTAAGTGAACAGAGACATGATCAATAACTCCTTTTCCAGTAACTTGTGAAAATAATCCAGAGAGACAAACATAAGGAATAAAGCACCAAATAATAGGTCTGATTCATTTGAATCAGAATTCATTTGAATTGAAAAAAAACAAAAAAGAAAACAAGATAACAGTAATATTATTCATGCCCTGAATTATATCACCTGATCTGCTCTAAAGGATATCCTAAAAGTCTATCAGCTTCAGCGATACCTGTTAATTTCACTAGAAGGGTAAAAAAAAACCCTATTTTTCTACTACTCTGTGGATTCTCAACTCGCATTATCTCTTCTACTATATATCTCTTATACTGTATATATCTAAGTACTATGAGATATTTTATATATCATATAAAATGACTGATTCATCCCCATACCAGATGTCTAGGAAACTGTTATTTACATACATGCAGAATCCTTTACACAGCAGCTGTATAAAGGATGATTTTAATGAGTCAATGCCAATTAAAACATTAAAAAAATTCCTAATTTATTTAGATACTTGCCTAAAATGGTGCATACCTATTTCTATATGCATAAAATCACAGATAATTTAAAATTTACTTCAGGAACTTCGATCTGCTGTGTTCTCAGCTTTTAACAGCAAATTATGAAAAGAAGGGGCACAAGAATCATAGCAGAACTATTACAATTCATAAAGAAAATTAAGTCCTAAGATGATAAGAATCACAGCAAGGTATATAATTAGAGTGGCTATAACAACAACATATAAATTAGATAATTATGGATTAAGCAATCCCTTGGGAGATTCTCTCTTGCCCTAGAAAACATATAACAAGCTCCTTAGATAGAAGGCAATAACTATTAAGTGTTTGAGGGAGAAGCAGGACTATAAGGAAAAACAAAACCAAAAAAACAAAGACACAGCAAGATAAAAATCCTAATTTAAAATCTAAAGATGGCTTTCAATTTTAGTAGTTTATTTTAATACACTTACTGATCCAGTTGTCCCCCATTAAATCTGCTGACATCTGTTGGCTAAAGGGTGCATGTCAGATTATCCAGAAGTGCAAGATCAAATAAACATAAACTGCTTTTTAAGGTGACAGTAGGGAGATACAAAACACTGCAGCGATTACCAGAAATAGAATTTTTTGTTGTTGTTGTTTCTTACATCAATGTAATAATCCCAGGTGTCCTGGACACCAGACATACAATAATCTTCATAAATCCTAATTCAAAGCCAAACCATCTGTCAAAAATATTTTTTATGTCTCCTAATAGATATGCTACATAATTGGTCTCACAGTAGGGCAAAAATACATGGTTGTACTGATTTGCTTTACCAATTGAATAGCTTATTATCAAAAATAACCCCATCACATTACTGGGGTCTCTAGCACTCTTCACATATCAAAACTAACCTTTCCTTTCTGCTATTTTCTATAACCTCAAATTCCCAATGAAAGCAGATAAAGATTGAATTATCTGGAAATTGTACAGTAATAATGGAAAAATCACAAGCATAAAAAAATAGAACCATAGTGTCTCTTTCTATTATGATTGTGTTGCAGTTAAAATTAGCTTTGTATTTCATGGTCACTAATTTACCAGTTTAGTCACTAATAAGACTAATCTAAGTTCTCAGCCCTGCAGAGCACTAACCATTTTGGACTCAATCCAGAGAAGCACTTAAATGTGTGTGTGACTTTTAGCTCATGAGCCTGAAGCAACTTCAGAGGGATCAGCCATGCTTGATTAGGGCCAGAGCACTCATTACCCTGCTGGACAACAACACATCCCCCTAGGACTGACCAGCACCAGGAGATGACCCTCCCAACCCCCTGCCCATACTTGAGGAGATGGACAGGACATTCCATATGGGAGCTTGTTCAAAGCAGGACACAAAATGTTTGGGCTTAAGTTGGCCTTTGAGAACTCTTTCCTCCAAGGAGTTGCCAATGACCTGCAATTCCCCTAACATGCATGCAATTTCCAAACAGCTGAAAACAACCCTGACTGAGGTATGGCAGGGCTTGCAAGAGGTTCTGTTACACATTCCTAGAGGCAGCAAGACCGTCTTGATGTAAACTTTTATTTGTGCATTGGTTTAAATAATTTATACAAAATGATACAAATATACGAACTTGACAATTCAGTGATTGTACAGCAAACAAATCCAATAGTACCTAAGGAAATGGGAAATTCCAAAGGTGATAGCCATTACCAAACAACAGCCCAGAAAACAATTTCTTCAAAAAATCAAACTCAACCTCATTTCCCCTTTGAAAATCCATGAACAAAGTATTACGTCATTCTTTAAATCTCATTTCCAAAAGCATTTTTCATGTTCCACAAAGTTTATATCTAATAAATAGTGAAAAATTTATATTTAAAAATAAAAGCAGGTTTCCGGGAACTGAAATGATGAAGCAGCTGATGAACTAAATGTTCTTTTGTTCAGTTCTGCATGATAAATATCAGATGCCACTTTGCAGTAACAACTATATTTTAGCATACTGTTCTACGTTTATCAAGAATTTCTGGTTTTATACTAACAAGGTTATTACTTCAATTGATGTGCTATGTCTCTATGACATATTGAATATGTAATACAATGCTTTTCCAGTTTCTCTAAATTGGTAAATTCTCCCACTAATCTACAAAAATATACTCACCACTGTAAGGAAGAGCATTACTTTCCTAATGGCCAGAATTATCCATTTAATTTCCATGATTCACAATTATTCTACTTAATTTGAGAACTTGAGAATTCCTTTGAGTAAATGTAAAGTCCAAATAGTGAAATCTAGACTGGAAAGAATTGCCTAAATAGTGCTGGATCTTAATTTAACTGATTCTGTCCCAAGCCAGTTCATATTTTTGTATTTTTGCGTATTGTATTTGTGACATGTAAGTAGTTTAATAGAAAGGTGAAAATATATCTTTGTTTCATTTTTCCTATAATATCTGCTATTTTGTTTTGAAAATTTTGCTTCTTCTCTCTAACTCATAAAACTTAAAATCAATACAAGTTCCTCTTTTCCTGAAATTCCACAGAACTGAACAAACCACCGAGTCTGCAGTAACTGGCAGTTCACCATCCCCAGCAAGGACATCACATTAAAGGAAACTAGGTTTGTCCAGTAGATAACTACATCAATGAATTATACTGCCCAGATCTGCAGGACTTCAGTTGCAAAACACGCTGGCTCAGATGTGGATGTAAAAGTCAGACAAAAACTTTGCAATTGGTTGGAACTAATTCATACTTCAACATTATCAGAAGGCAAAGTACACATTACTTATGATGAATTAAAGATTTCTGTACAGGATACAGTTTTAAATTTTTTATTAGAAAAGAAGACTACAGGCCACACATACACAGAGACCATCCTTAAGAGGTGGAAAATTGTCACACACACCTCTACTATACCTAGGGACTCAGCAATAATAAATAGTGAAACAGCATTGAAAAGAGGCAGACAGACACTGTTAGTACCAAGGTGAGATATGGGAAAAAGAGACAGGATAGGTTAAGCAAAATAAATGAACCATCACAAAAGCACAAAAAGTCCAAGCCAAACATCTTCAGTCACCTTGCAAATGTCTAAAACTACATGGCAATGGAAAACAGGCCCATGCTTGGTACAAAAACATTTTCAGAGTACGTGGAGAAGACATACAGCATATGCAGAAATATTCTGAAAGCCCTTGCCTGTGAACATGTATCAAATATCAAATATACCAAAGAAAAAGAAGTTCAGATTTACAGCCACACAGTAGAGAAACAGAAAGGAAACACAAAGTAAATACAATCTATTATACTCACATGTTTACAGGTTACTCATAATGGCAGTTGTGGAAATAGACGGTTTATGTAAATGTGTGACTTTTGCCATCACTACTCACCACAGAAATGCTTCTATGCAATTCATTAACATTCTAGCTACAGTTTCATGCTTGCACAACTCAAGTATAAAAATAAGATATCCAGCAATACCATACAGCCCAGATTTCTACAATTTCCTTTTCAAATCCACAGCAGTGGGCTTCATATTCTTGCCATCTAATTAACAGCAGTGCTGCTTTTATGACAGATGACGAGGAAGGCTGGGAGTGACTCAGGCAATGGAAGATGTGAACGTGGTGAAATCATCTTCTGCAGGACATTCATGCTTCTTAACTGAGCTGCTATGGAAGTTTCACCATGTGTGCATAAGGAAAAAGTCTCCTACCTGTGAAGGTTGACTGTACCTCGGTCTGGTCTCCGGAAATGAAGTTTTATCCTTTGAGTCTCTACTTTGATCATCAGCTGTGTCACCTACCAAAGTTAAAAAAAACTTTTAAATCACTGAAATCCTTCCTATTTTACATAAAGTAAGAAAACCTCTTCAGTCTTTCTAAAATCAAATTATACCCTGAGAAAGGGGACTCTGTTGCCACATTTTATTTACAATTTTGAACATGAGAGAAAATGAGAGAAGTGAGAAATTTTGAACATAAAGACAAAAGCATTGCAAAGTGATCTGCAAAACCCAGGAACAAACCTGTATAAATTATTTAAAGGAAAAAATTCTTGAGGAAAAAGGGGAGAAAAGACAAAAGCAAGGCCCCTATTTTTGCATACTTTAGGACCATTAGGTTCTAATATTTAGCAAATGGTACATAGCAGTGTGACTATGTAGTGGAAAGGAGATACCAGGTGCACATCCATCCCATCCCAATCCAATGGCAGGCTAGAAGCACTGTTACTCTATCCTCATTTGTAGCCTCATTTCCACACAGCTGATATCTGTGCATGAGTGCAGAGAGAGAGACAAAGCATTCTGAGAAATGGCCTGGTTTTGACTGTCTGGGGACAGAGACTGCTTGGCAGGCTGGGCACCAATCTCCTCCCATTGCATACACGGGGCTACCTCTGCCCAGGATTTTACCAAGAAGATACAACTCAGTTTATCCCAAAAGCTGCAGCCGGTACTGATCTAAAGATGGGCAGATCACAGCAATAAACCAGAGACAATTATTTCCACATTTATTTTTAAGACAGAAGGTACATTGTCAATTTTATTTTTAAAAGGTAGAAATAGTAAAAAAAAAAATAAAAAAAAATAAACCAACAAAACCAGAATTTGTTTCTCAAATGTTGCAAAACAAACATCTACCTATCCTATCTTCCCCAACTTTCTTTGTCAATGGAAGAGTGTACCAGAAGCTGTAAAGATGTTGCAGATTATGTCCTTCTGCTGTTAGTACTAGTCAGTAAACAGTTTGTAAGAGCAGAGAACTGAGAAAGACTAAAGATTTAGTTACATAATTTTGGTTTTATTTTTATTTGAATTCATACTGCTTTCTGTAATGGCATATATTTGGAAGTCTGTATCTTTAAAGAGTAGTGCAGCAGCAATTCAAAATAAAAGGGTTCAAGTTACTGTAGTTTAACTTTGCTAAACCAGTGGTTCTGGCTCCCCTATTCCATTTTTTTCAGAGGTTTACTTAGAACCAATGCATCAGGCAAAAGCCTTTGGAAACAGCAGCCAGCTTCTGCCTGTGCCCAGCTAGGCTGAAAAGTCAATGGCACTCAGGTCCATGCATGTTTGCTCCATACAGGTCTGACTGGTCAGACCCCTCAAGTACAATGCAGTATTTGGTACTTTTTTATGAAAACAAGCACTAATATCTAATTTTTGTGTCTGCTTTTAATACCCAAGTATTATTCCTAGCAGTGTATGCAGAGAATCATCATCATCGTCCTTGTCATGGTCTTTGATGCCTATTAATTTCATTATTGTCTACACTTTCCAAGGCCTTTTCTGGAGTTGAAAGATGCTTCTTAGTAAACTCGTAATTCTCTACATAAAATACTCCAAAGCACTTGTACTCACAAGAGCTATTAAAAAAAAAGGGTGTGGGAGAATGAAGGAGATGAGGATTCAGTTAATCTTCCATTCCATTCCCAGTACCTTGAAAAACACAATTTGTAAGCATCTATAAGATAACAAGATAAATAACAGTTATGAAAATCATGAATGTTAAACAATTATTTTACATTTGTAATGAAGTAGAGGCCTGCAAACAAAAATTATTATAAGCTTTGTAAATGCACCCTGCCTCAGGGAGGCGTAAAAGTGGTTAACAGATGCAGGAAGAGGGCAATAAGGTTTATTTTTGGTACACTTGCTGTGGATGAGACTGCAAACAAATTTAAATGGTACCAAATTCAGGCTAGATCACTTTCTCCAGGAGTAAGGCTACTTAAGCACTTTGAACAACCTAACAAAATGGTTTCTCAATGCATACGTGTTAATGCTATCCAGAATATACTTTTTCCACATGATTAGTTTTCCTTAAGATGAAAAGAGTCTTGGTTTGTAATCAGGACCAAAAGGACATAAATGATCATAAGAAAGGAAGAATAAAAACACCTCATTTAGAGAGAAATTAAATTTTTAACTTAGAACTTTGTCATCCAGCTCCCAAAATTCACAAGCTCAGTACAGGAATACGTGTATTGTTTCACAATTCAAAGTGCCTTTGTGAAACTGCACTTCAATCAGAATTTTTCTTTGTTAAAAAAAAAAATAAAATGGGGAAACCCCAACATCTTGCCAAATTTTCAGGCATATGGTCCTGCAAGGATAAGCCATGACTCTTTGTACAGACTTTTATTATTTGAGTTAATGGAGTTGAAGCAGTGATAGACAGCTGCCAAAGACATCAAACTGTCTAAGACATCCAGCAGGATGGAATATTTTTCCAGATAAATTGGTATTTTCAGTGTACTTCTTTCACTGGTTCCTATCTCAAATATTCAACCAATTAGTCATCCTTATTTCTACTGGCCCAAATAATTAATTAACTGTGACATATCTCCCCAGCTCTATCAATTCCCAACCCTATCTAGCTTGCCATAGCTGACTACTCATGTTTAGCCACCCACAATTTTTTTTTGTGGTTTTTTCTGTTCGGTTTTTTTTCCTTCTTTTTGTTTTGGTTTTTTTGTTTAGCTTGCCTTGGTTTCCCAGTGATTTACAGTCTAATCTCTTTCCTTAAGTGGAAGTCATAGCTCGGCCTTTCCTCTTCAGGCTCAGCCTTTAAAATGCTTCCCTCTGCTCTGGGTTTTCCTCTTGTCCTCTGCAACCCTGTGATCTCCTCTTCCTGCCCATCTATGTGAGGAAGGGGGAAGATGCCAAACACCAAACACACAGACATCGATGAGAGCACAGACCTTTGGGTGCAGGACCTGTGTGGGTCCTTTTGAGCACTTCAAACATTTTAGTTGATAGCTTTTGACTGGGGGAAAACCCCAAACAACCAAGTCACCCTCCCCTCCAAACCTGGGAGGACCCCCCCCCCCAAACAAACTCAAATAATTCTCTTACACAATCTTGATGTAAATAGGTATATCACCATATTTTTGCCAAACTAAGCAACTAAAATCTGGCTCTTGAAAAAGATCACAAATACATGACCTTAGTGGAAAGCACTCCCATAAAGTCTTTCATCGAAACTGAAATTCATTAGAACTGCAAATATGTTCACAGATAAGGGCAAAAGGACCATGGTAATCACCTAGTCTAAACTCCTGTAAAAATACAGGCCATAAGATTGCTTGAATAATTTGTTTGAACTAGAGCAACTTTAAAGCTGTATTTTAATCAGGGGATAAAAGATAAAATTACTTATTTAAAAAACCATTTAGATTCTGGCTCATATATTCCTTGGTTTAAGCATTGTGTAAATTTCAGTCATAAAACTCCTCTAGAAAATAAATCTAAGTCATATATCAAAAAATGATGTATACTGTCTAAAGTCTATAAGAATTAGAAATAGAGGGCACTTCATGAAATGTAATATGGTTTAAATATCAGCAGCATAATCTGTAATATGCAGTACTTTACTGGGAAAATTTATCAGGAAAAAACCAATCGTGCTCATTGCTGTAAAATATTCCCTTCCTTAGCAATGGGAAAATATTTAATGTTTGAAAAGAAAGTAGTAGGCGTATTTATCCTACTGCCCAGATAAGGTTGTGTTTCAAATCCTCAGTCTTGGGAGGCTGTTTTTCAGTTATATTAAGCCTTTTCCAGGCCCAAATAATCAGTGTTCCACTGAAAGATCACAAATACATTTCTCCTTTCACTAAGCTGACGCTGGATTTTCACCAACATTCTCCAAGTTCCACTGGTATCTTTTTCTAAGAACTGCAGCCAGGTGTTCCACAGGAAAGAAATACCTAGTCCAGTCCTCAGTATATACTATGTATATCCTCCCTCAGAACTCAGAGGTTTTGGTGTCTTCAGAAATCTGCATTCAGCTGCCTATCTGGACCTCAGCAAACTCTCATATAGAAAGGTTCACCCACAAGTTTGGCTTCTACTCAACAAGGAAGTGGTGTTTCTATTTATACTCTTTCCTCTTCCAGCATTTTGTTAATCTCAAGCTGTGTAGTCTCTTGATCAACAGACAACATTTAAAAGCCTAGCCCACCCTCAGTTTAATAAATTAAAACCAATTGTAAATGTACTTTATAATGCAGACTGCCATTTGTCCTGGTCTGTGTAACACTCCTGTGAGACACTGAAGCACGTACAACACAGCAAGCAGTAACTAGCTACCAAATACATGGATATCCAAATGTCACCTTCAGCTTCAAAAGGAAGACAGCTATTTTCCATTATACTTTAGTTAGTTGCTTAACTCTTTGTTGCCTGTCATTATCTTCTATGTCCTGCATAGAGATGGCAAGAACAAAGAATATTCTGGCTTCTGCTTGGCAGCAAAAAGACAAAAGGTTTTAAGAGAGGATTAGTAAGATCTGAAAACAGGAGAGACTGACTCTGTGGAAGCATCAAAGTTTTGCTGCAGTTTCTTTTCCTTCTTTCTTACTCATAAATCTTCCCCTCTCTCCCTGAGATAAGGAAGAAAGGTCAGACACAGCAATTTTAAGTTACCCTGCTCCAGGATAAACTAGCAGAACTTCAGGCTTCAGTCCATCAGTCCTGACAGTGCTTTCAATCTCAGGAGGTATTTAAGAAGTATTGTAATTCCCTGTGAACATCTGAGTCCCAGGAGTCCCTGCAATGGCACTTCCATGCAAAGGGGGCTGATAGCACCTTTCAAGTCCTGCTCTCCTCTCTGCCTCCAGGTCTTTCAGCAGGGATGAAATGTGTTTCTGCCCAGTCTCTTCCAGCCCTGTTTGGTTCTCCAGCACTATTTCCAGGGTCTCACATCCTCCACTTACCAGCCGGTTTCTACCCAGTGAGTGAGCTGGGGGCTGCAGTGGGTGCCAGGGAACCTCAATGGCAGTACCCCAAACCCAGA